TCTTAGGTACCTGTGCACACCTATGCATCCTACATACACCCACATGCAGTTTGTTATGACACTGTATCAACATGAACTAGTATAAATAACTGTCACAAACAGTCTAAATTCCACATATTTCTCACAATTACACGCAGGGGTGATAGACAAAATATTTAAGGACCAGATGACCTGAGCCCAGGCCACAGCTACTAACCAGGGTCCCTGAGGCCCCCTGTTATGCTTAACATTAACCCTTTAATTGCTGGACCAGGAGTGTACAGTGGAGAATCCAAGTGCACAGGGTGGCAGGGAGTTTGGGATAGCATATATTTACCAATCAGCACATAAACATTCAAATATTTTTAAAACCAGCACAGGTGTATTGGTAAGCAGCACCTGAGAATCAGCCCTGCTCATCCTACCTGCTGCTGAGATAAACCTTCAGGCATTGGGGTCAAGATGGCCTCTGGGTGCCTACAGTCAACATCAATGAATAAATTCTGCTCTTCTTCAAGACAAGATCTGTGATCTTAAAAAAAGTCAAAGCGTGCAAGTTTTACATTGAAATAGTATATTCATAACATTACAGCATAGTAAAATAAGCTGTCAAATAAATGTTTTGTGTAGACATTTCAATCTTGCATGCTTACTTTCCACCCAACTATTCCTAAATTGAAATTTTAACAAACCCAATAAAATAATCCTTCCCACAAGGGCAATACACAGTGTCAATATTTAACATTTTCAATATTTAAAGTTTAACTTCAAAAGGCAGAGGTGTCATCTGAATAGCTAGATGGTAAAGTGCCAATAAATATTTCAGTTTCTTAGTCTATGAAATGTCACCATCAGAAAGAAAGAACGGCAGCTAAGAACTAACATTCCAAAACCAATGAAAACTGAGGTGGGACCTAGTATATTTCCTGACTTTCTGTCTGCCTCTCTCACTGGAAGTCTGAAAAAATCAGTTTTCCAAAAATCGAGAAGTTTAAGACAAAACTAAATTCTTTTTAAAACTTAGACACAGCTAATGATATTAAAGAATACACAAAATGGCTGGAAAGCAGAAAAGCACAGGAACCTTCAGGTAACAGAAACCTGAATTTTTCTAATTCAAAGACACCAAACCCTTGCTGCACAGAGTAATTATTTGAGGGGCTTTTAAAAACCCTCCAAGTACAGACTCCTCCCTCAGAGACTGAATAGTTGGCAGGGTGTGGTGGGCCTGGGCACACAGTATTTTTAAAAAGGTTTCCAGTTAATTCATGTGTACGTCCAGGACTAAGAACACTTAGTCCAGGCCTCTCATTTCACAGCTTAGGAACCTGAGGTCGGAAGGTTCAGGGATACGCTTAGAAAACAGCTGTACCTCTCCAATGGACCCCCCCAAAGACCAGCTCCCCTGAACCAGAGATGAATCATAACCTCCTCTCTTTCTCTTCACAGCCATCCTCATTTGGTGCCTGGCATGCCGATTCCTCTATCAGGGGACACATTTCGCTGCACATTTTATTAGAACACACACATCTTATCGGTCTCGTTCACCAAACAAAACCCGTAGAGATCCTGACAACCCTTGCTCGACCTTGTTTGAGATGATGAGGGCTTCATTACAATTTTTTTTTTAAAAGGCCTAATTAGTTTTAGCTCCAGGTATGTAGAGTATTCCTAGGCCACTGCTTGAGGAAACATATGACTGTAAAGTTCTTTCTAAGTGTATATATCAGCAAGTGCTGCCCAGGCACTAGCACCAGATGTGCACGTCAGGAAGCTTGGGGGAATAACAAAGAAACACTTCTGGTATGGGGGAGGGCGTCCGTGACCCAAGCTCCCATGGATACGGAGGGACCACTGTACCTACCACTTTGGAACAGTAAACTCTCAACTACGCTCCACAAGTCTAGATTTTAACATATCAGTGCACAGAGGTTGTAAGACATTTTCTCTGATCTTTAACGATCCTTGGCCTATAGTTTGTGGCCAGCATGCAAGACACCTAGACACAATCCATCCTTTACACATATAAACTGCACAGGCTACTGCCCCCTCAGTGAGTTTTTTTTTTTTTAGGAAAACTTGAAAGTTTTGATATTTCAAATGTTCCCTCATCAGCAGAAAGGTTTCTAAAATCCCCGTTTAGAAGGCAGCCTTCTTGGCTTACAGCCTCAGTCCTTACAGGATAATAAACACACCCAGGAGAGCCAACACACTGTACATGCGTGTCTTGGCATGGGTAGAGTTGGAACATGCAAGCTCGCAGGCCTCAGACCTTGAGAAAGGAAAGACTTAGTCCTGATGAACGAGCGGCCTCTCTTCACGGCAGCTCGTGTCCTCTCCAACCCATCTTTGGTACCCTCCTTTGCTGCCTTCATGAGCTTCTGCATCTGTGAGGAAAAAAGGGCGGAAACGTGAGAAGTGGTACAGCTCAACCAAATTTTACTTGTTACTTTTGTTTATTTTAAAAGAATACTGTCAAGTAGTTTGGGCTTGAAACACTAACTGAAATTGGTTCTTTGATTTGAGAGAGCTTTCTCTGTTAATGAGTGTGTATGCGCACGCGCGCATGTGTGTGTGTGTGTGTGTCATTTTTGGCTATGTTTTGTTTGTTTAAAAAAGGAAAAAACAAACTTTACAAAGAGAGCCCTTTCTTGACATGGTTGAAAATTTCCTGCAACATTTAAAAGTCAATTTTGTTTTTTATTATCATCACTTACAAATACAAAGAGCTTTGTAGATGTCACAGAGAATCTAAAATGCTCAAATGTCAATCAAATTTCCCAAAATTAAATGTCAAGACAAGTAACTGTATTTCTCGTGGCTTTTTTTTTTTTTTTTTTTTTTTCCTTTTTG